GTTGACTGAGCTCGGGGGGCAGCCCATCCGCAAGGGGGCCTGGGTCTATCCGAGGCTCCGCGCGCGTCCGACGGGCTGGACTTGGGCACTCTGGTGGCGCCAGCGGATTCACGAGAGGATCGTCTAGAGGTGCGGTGGTCGGGCCGAGGGCCGATTGCAAGATCGGCGTGTCATCCCACCATTGTCTGGTGCCTGTCACCTCGACTACGTGGATAACTTTGTCGGCATATCGACGGTCGCCTCGAAAGTTCATCGTCTTGCTCGCGCCGTCGTCAAAGTGTTGAGAGAGGCGGGACTCGTCGTCACCGCCGATGTCGACACCCCGAACGACGACGCCTCCCGCGATAGGACTGTCTTGGGATGGGACGTCAGTTGCCAGGCCGCCGCACTTAGGCCTACACGGGTCAGGGTCTGGAGAGCTCGCCTCTGCATTCGTGCTATCCTTCGCCGCGGTCGAGTTTCGGCGAGGGCCCTTGAGAGGCTCATGGGACACATGGGATTCATCAGTCTGATACGTAGGGAGACCTTGTCGGAGTTCGACACACTGTTCGCGCTCATCCGCCCCTACTACGACGAGGAGGCCCCGCTGCGGGCCAGCGCGATCAAGGAACTCACCATATGGGATGGGATTTCGCCGCTGCTGTGGCGTAACTTGAAGGCCTCCTGGGGGCCTGCAATCTACGCTTCGGGCGCCTCCCCGACTGGTCCTGGGATTCGCCCGTCTCCTTTATCGCACGAGGAAGCCCGTGGCTTGGGGAGGCACTGCGAATGGTGGCGCTTCTCCCGAGGTGTTCGACTCCCTCCGCGGCTTCAGGCCGCCGCTGCTGCTACCGTGTCTGGCGACCCGGAGGTGTCGTGGCTTTCTGGGGCGCATAATAACAGATCTGGAGGTTTTGGGGATGCCGACGGGGGGCCGCCTTCTACTGGGAGCATTGCCGATTTCTTGGGCTTTGGTCTTGGGGGCCCCCGCGATTGCGCGTCCCAGGAGGTCCCCCTGAAGCTGCTGAAGCGTGATTGGAGGGTTGTGGGCCGCTACAAGTGGGGTTTCGACGAGCCCATGCCCGTCTTGGAAGGGTGCGCCATCCTGCACGCGCTGCGGCACGCCTTGAGGAACGCTCGCAACTTCGGGCGGCGGATCGCCGTCTTGGGAGATGCTCCGGTGGCCACCTGCGCGGCATCGAAGGGGCGGTCGAACTCTCGGGCGATGCCGCGCGCAACCCAGTCGGTGGCTGGCTGCCCTTTGTCTCGCGACCAGTTGCGCGTTACACTGTCGTTGGTCCCTTTCGGAGTGGAACGTTGCCGATGGACCCTCAAGAGGCTCCTCGGGGCCTTCCTTGCCGCGGCCGCCCTCGCTCTCGGAGCCGCGCGGAATCGAATGGCTTCGCTCGGGCAAGCTCGCCGCGGACGCGGCCTCCAACCCAAGGGCAGACGCCGCCGATGCGGCTGCTGAGCGCGGCGTTGTGCGACAGCCGCGGGAGTGGCTCGGCTCCGAGGCCGCGGGCAGCGGGCTGCCTACCGCGGATGACTGGCGGCGGGAGCACGTCTTCGTCGCTGGCGTCTCCTTCGCGGGCAGCTCACGGAGGCCACTCGGCGTCGGCGGCGCGGCGGGTGCCTAGGGCGGCTACGCGGCGGCCGTCGCCGAGAGGCCCCGGGGCGGCTCGGGCGAAGGAGAGCGCCCGACGGCGCGGCATGCCAATGGCAGCGCGCCGCCCACCCCCGCGGCAAAGCTGCCCGGTGCGCCCCGCTACGTTGCTGCTGCACAAAGACGTCTGTCGCTCGCTCGGGCGCAGGCTGCCGCTGACTTCACGAGCTCGGACGACGCGCTGGCGAAAGCGGGCAGGAGCGGCCGAGACCGAGGCAGTCGACGAGACGCAGCGGCCGCACCTGGGTCGCCCGATGCCGTTCGGGCCGACGCGGGTCGCGCCGCGGGAGGCTCGGGGCGGGCCGCGCGGAGGCGACAGGCCGCCGCGCCAGCGCGCGGGCGCGGGCCATCAGCCGCCCCCGCTCGCCGCGAGGACGGCGGGGGCGGCCGCGGGCGCCGAGGCAGCGACGGCGGCCCGCTGTCTGCGGGGCCACGGCAGCCCCGGCCTCGCCGCGGCGCGGGCGCGCGGCCGACGGGGACGCCCGCGCGCCTGGCGCAACCGCCGCAGGCCCTCGCGCGGCGACGCTGCGGCCAGGCGACCCCGCCCTCCGCGCCTGCGTTTGTGGAGATCCTCTCCGGGACAGGGCGCCGCGGGCGCGCGGTGGCGCACGAAGGGCTGCCACTGCTGCGGTGGAAAGTCACCTTTGGCCCTGCGTATGACCTGACGCTGGCCAGGAACCAGTCGATGCTGATGGGGTGGCTCGCTGATGGCCTGATTTTGCCGCGCCAGACATTCTCTCGCATTCGCGACCGTGGTGGAGGGCCGCCACCGTGGATTGCCTACCCATCATGGGGCCTGCCAGGTTTAGCGCCTGCCCTGTTGCGCAAAGTGTCGTTGACCAATAATATCACCCGTTTCGCCTGTCGCCCGTTTCGCGAAGCCACGCGCAGGCGCGCCCCCGGGAGTCTTTAGAATCCTCGGATTTCACGCCTGTGGCTGTGTAATTCCATCGTGTGTCTGACTAGGCGTAAGAACGTGAACTTTGCGTATACAGATTTCTGCATGTGGTCTGGGCCCTTGAAAGAGTCCACCACGTTTGTTTCGTTCCTCGTCGGTATGTCTGGCCTGTCTGCTCGAAGATGTCTTGGTAGTCGCAGAATGTGTGCGCGTTCCGACCAACATCACCAGCAATTGGCTGGAAAGCGCGAGGACCGAATGTTTTGGACGAAGGTCGCTGGACCATATCCGTTGCCATTGTGCACGTTCATTGCTAAACGTTTCTGTGATGTGATTGCTGCGCGGACCGCTCAGACATTCGATAGATTTCTGAGTATAGTGAAAAGGTGCGGCGTGCCAGTTGGCACCAGTGCAAGTTTGGCGCCCGTGTATCTTAACAGTGCAGATTTGGCAGTGCGTGTGGCCGAAGCCACACACGTGTGTGTCAATTTGGTCTCGACTGTTCATGTTGCGCCCGTGCCCACTCGTACCGGTCGGTGGCGACACTGTAAATAAAAAGTGTTTGCAGCGTCGTTTGGCCCTCGAACGGAAGTTGGAGCAATTGCAGTTATCCTGACGTGTTTTGCAGAGCAAGAGAGGGAGGGGCCGCCCCAACCGTTGGGGCTCAAGGCGCCCTCCCTCCCGCCCGCCCTTTCTCACCTTGAGCAGTGCGTGTGGCGGAAGGGCGGAAGCCACACACGTGTGTGTTAATTGGGTCTCGACTGTTTACGTTGCGTCCCCGCCCATTCGTACCGGTCGGTGGCGACAGTGCAAATAATAAGTGTTTGCACCGTCGTCTGGCCCTCGAACGGAAGCTGGGGCAGTCATCGTCATCATCATCATCATCATCATCATCATCATCATCATCATCATCATCATCATCATCAACATCAACATAAACATAAACATCATCATTATCACCATCGTCAACACCATCATTACCATCATCGTCGTAGCCGTCGTCGTCGCCATCTTCATCGCCTTCATTTATTATCATAAGTCCTTCTGTCCTCGTCCATACGTAGGCATTCTGGCCCCAGCGGTGTGGCTCCTCCGCCTGAAATGGCTCCTTGGCGGCCTTGGGAGGCCGCCCGCGGCGGCGCCTCTCTCGCGAGGGGCCGTTGCGCAAGCTCGCCCACGGCAGCCCGCTGCCCTGCGGCTCGGTGGTCGGCACGAGCATCGAAGAGCTGGCCGGACAACGCGCTGCGCCGCGAGCGCCTCGCGCGGCCTTTGCTGGCGGCCTCGCTGGCGGAGGGCACTGTGGCGCCCGATGTCGTCTTTGGGAGCAGTGGCGCGCAGCGCTCGCAAATGCAGTCAGGAACCGACGCGCCCGTCGCGGCGCGGCGAGCGGCGCGGCAGCCCCGGCTGCGGCGCTTCGGCCTGGACTTCGGCGCCGCCTCGGCCGCCCGAGCTGCTGCGGCGCCTCCGCCGCGCGGCGGCCCGCCATGGAGGAGGCGGACGCTTCTATGGCCGCCGAGCGCCCGCCCGGCGGAAGTGTTGCGACGCCAGACGCGGGCCGACCGCGCGGCCATCGACCAGCGCGTCGGGGCCGAGTGCTGCGCGATGTTCGGCGCCCTGCGCCGCCGCCGCGACGATGGTTCCGACGAGGACCTGAGCGGCGGTCGCGACCAGACTGGTCGCCAGGACGGCACCAGCGCGCCTGCGGCCCACAGCAGCGAGCAGTGCACGCAGTGTATCACCTCGCCCAGCGTCGTTGAGACCTCGCCCGACAAGGCTCTTCTGCGGCGACGGCTCAAGGGTATGGTTGGACGACGTAGACATATGTTTCATCTCGGCCTATGTCTTGAGGTCACTAACACCGCGGGAGGATCCAGGAACGTGGCCGAATTGGTACGATCATGTGCATCGTCCCCATCGCCTTTACCATCATCATCATCATCATCATCATCATCATCATCATCATCATCATCATCATCATCATCATCATCAGCATCATCATCATCATCATCATCATCATCATCATCATCATCATTATCATTATCATTATCATTATCATCATCATAATAATCATCATCATCATCATCATCAGCATCATCATCATCATTATCATCATCATCATCATCATCATCATCATCATCATCATCATCATTATCATTATCATCATCATCATCATCATCATCATCATCATCATCAGCAGCATCAACATCAACATCAGCATCAGCATCAGCAACATCAGCAACATCAGCAACATCAGCATCAGCATCAGCATCATCATCATCATCATCATCATTATCATCATCATCATCGCCATCGCCATCGCCATCGTCATCGTCATCAGCATCAGCATCAGCATCAGCATCAGCATCAGCATCATCAACATCAACATCAACATCAACATCAAGATCATCCTCCTCCTCGTCCTCATCCCATTCCTCCTCCTCCTCCTGCAGTCCTTTCCCTAGCCCTTTTGGCTCAAGCCCTCAAGGGGGGGCAGGGGAGAGGGGGCGCGCGGGGCGGGGCGGCGCGCGCGTGCGCCGGGGTCCCGCCGTCGTCGAGAGGCTCCTCGCCCAGCGAGCGAGGCCATGGGGGGCGGCGCGTCCAAGAGGGACGGCCGCGGGCCTCCGGGCGGCACGCCGCCGGAGAGCAAGGCGGAGGCCCAGCGGCCAGCGCCCCAGCGCCTGCCCAGCCCGGAGCTCGTGGACGTGCAACCGGCGCCCAGCAAGCAGCCCGAGGTCTTTCGCGACAGGAACCTGCAGGCTCAAGTGGACAGAGTCATCGACTGGGAGTCCATCAACGGGCCCGCTCTCAGAAGGGCACTGCCGATGCTCCTGGAGCTCGAGCGCGACCGGCGGTGCGACCACTGGATGTGGCGGCCCATCCACTACGCCGCGCTGCACGGCCTGGCGGACGCGATGCAGCCCCTTGTAGAGATGGGGGCCGCCGTCGACGCGCGGACTGGCGGGCATGCTCCGGCGGGCAAGGCGCTGTCCAGGTCCACGTTCAACTTCTGCGCCGAGGTCGAGTGCGACGGCCAGGGCGTGATCGTCGAGGAGGTGGACGGGGACGGCCTCACCGTAGCGAGGCCTCCGTCTATGCAGAGGAGGAGGGTCCCCATGAGCAGCTGCGTGTGCACCGGCTACACCCAGGTTCAGCACTCCACGCACACGCGGCACTTCGGCTACGCCACCGCTCTGCACATCGCCATAGAGTACCAGCACATCGGCGCCATACAGGCCCTGCTGGCGCTGCAGGCGGACCCCAACACCTCCTGGAATGACGAGCGCGACATGCCCCTCCACAAGGCCATCCAGCAGGGGCACACCGAGGCGGTCGGCGCCCTGCTCACGCACAAGGCGGACCCCAACGCCGAGTGCTGCTGGGGGCACTTCCCCCTGGCCACGGCGGCGCTCTGCGCCCAGGAGCCGTCGCGGGCGGTGGCCAAGATGCTGCTCGAGGCCGGCGCCCGGCGCGGAGTCACGGACAAGTCGGGCAAGACGGCGGCGCAGCTGGCCAGGGAGCTGGGCCACGAGGCGTTTGCCGAGACGGTGGAGAGCTACCAGGTCACCGGCAGCGGCGCCGCGGCGGTCCAGCTGGGCCAGCTCGGGGCCTTGCCGGCCGCAGCCGCCGCGGTCGAAGGGCGCGGCGGAGCCACGGCCGACCTGCCGCCACAGAGCGCTGCGGGCCTGCCGCCAGAGCCGCCACCGGGGCCGCCGCCCCCGGGGCCGCCCTCGGGAGGCGCCGCCCACCTGAGGGAGCTGCTGTGAGCGACCTGCCTGCCTGCTCGATCGCGCCCTCCGGTGCTCTGCGTCTGCGAAGACGTCTTCTCACAATCCTTGGTCTAGCGACCGACAATGAATGCAAGTGCTCTTCCTTTGCGCCCGACAGGGCTGGAGCAATGCGACTGGCAGTGAGCGCCTTTCATACTTAAAGCAATGCGAAGGCCATGGTGACCCATGACCCATGGACTGACACTGCACCTGGCCCAGCTGCAAACAACTCATTCCTTGTCCTTATAAATGATTCACTGCGTGGAGCTCCCCATACGTGCATCTCTTTGCATTGGCATTTCCGCAGTGAATGTCTAGGCGCAAGAAACTTCGAAAATGAACGAGCTTGGATATTGACAGCCTGGGAGAGAGTCTAACTGTGAATGACTTTGAGTGTGTATGAGCCCCAGTAGTACGAATGAGTCTATGCGCGTGAGCCTGCGCATGGCTAAGTTTAGGGTGAGAGTGTCTGCACGTCAGTGGCTCGAGCATGACTGAGCGTGACTGAATCCTCCTGGGGTCTCTTGGGGCTTCCTCAAGTCTCCTGGGGCTCCTGGGGCCTCCTGGGGCCTCCTGGGGCTTCCTGGGGCTTCCTTGAGCCTCTTGGAGCTCCTGGGGCCTCCCGCGGCTTCCTGGAGCCTTGGGGACTCCTGGGGTCTCCTGGGGCCTCTTGGGGACTGCTCCTCCTTGAACCTGCTGGGGCCTCTTGGGGCTTCCTTGGGCCTTCCTGGAGATTCCTGGGACTCAGCCTCCTGAGACCTCCTGGGTCCTTCCTTGTGTTTCCTGGGGCGTCCTCGGGCCTCTTGGAGCCTCCTGGTACCTCTTGGGGCTTCCTGTGGCTTCCTGAAGTCTCCTGGGACCTTCTGGGGCCTCCTGGGCCTTCCTGGAGCCTCCTGGGGAGGATTCGTGCCACAGGAGAGGCCCAATATATAGAAACAAATGTAAAACACTTAGGGTTGGAAACGCAGGAGAAGGACAATCTATAGGAACACACGTAGACACCAAATAGTCGTGCCCCACAAGACGCCCAACATGTGTATATATATATATATATATATGTGAACATACGTCAAACACGTCGGATTGGAGCCACAGGATAAGGACAAACTATAGGAACATACGTAAAACACAAAGGATTCGGGCATCAGGAGAAGCCTGGTCTATAGGAGCATAAATAAACACACATTGGATTGGAGCCGCTCCTGGGGCCTCCTGGGGCCTCTTGGGGCCTCCTGGGGCCTCCTGGCTGGGGCCTTCTGGTGCCTCCTGGCACTTCCTGTGGCTTCCTGAGGTCTCCTGGGACCTCCTGGGGCCTCCTGGAACTTCCTGAAGCTTCCTGGAGCATCTCGGGGGGAGCCTCTTGTGGCATTCTGGGGCTTCCTGGAGCATCCTGGGGCTTCCTGGGGATTCCTCTAAACTCTTGAAGCTTCCTGGGGGCTCATGGAGCCCTTTGGAGCATCCTGGAGCTTATTGGGGCTTCCTGAAGCCTCCTGGGGCATCCTGTGGCTTCCTGGGGCATCCTGGAGTCTCCTTGGGCGGGCCTCATGGGAAGGATCAGCCCACGATTCTGGCAGCCAACGCAGGCAAACCGCTCGAGACATCCTCGCAATCTGAGCCCCCTGGGGTGCGAATGTCAGCGCCTGCACTCGACGAGTCTGGCCACCGAAACAAGCAAACCGCTCGAGACATCCTCGCAATCTGCCCCCCCCCACCCCAGGGTGCGAAAACCAGCGCCTCGCACGAGACATCCTCCAAGTCTGCTCCGAAAGTAGAGGATGCTGGGTCAGGAAGCACGCAAACCGCTCGAGGCATCTCCGCAAGCTGGGCGCGAACGGAGACCGTGCAACACCCTAGGCGCCCCCCCCCTTTGGAGTGCTACAACCAGCAAGCCGCTTCAGACATCCTCAGAATCTGCTTTGAGCGCACACGAGTCTGGCCACCAAAACAGGCAAACCGTTCAAAACCATCCTCGCCATCTGGGCCCTCTGGAGTGCGACAACCAGCGCGTCGCACGAGACATCCTCGAAATCTGCTCCGACAACGAAGCATGCTGAGCATGCAAACAGGCAAACCGCCTGAGACATCCCCGTAATCTGGGCGCGAATGGAGGCCGTGAGATACCCCTGGCGGTCCCCCCTCAGTAGGTGCCTCGCACGAGACATCTTCAAGATCTGCTCCGATAACGTGGGATGTTCGCGACCAAAACAGGCAAACCGCCTGAGGCATCCTCGCAATCTGGACGCGAACAGAGGCCCTGAGATACCCCCTGGCGCCCCCCCTTAGGAGTTAAAACCAGCAAACCGCTCGAGGCATCCTCATCATCATCATCATCATCATCAGCAGCAGCAGCAGCAGCAGCATCAGCATCAGCATCAGCATCAGCATCAGCATCAGCATCCGCATCATCACTATATTCATCATCATTCACCAATCACCATCATACTCACATCATACTCTCACCATACCATGGTCATCATCATGACACGCATCATTATCGTCCAGTGCGGAGAGGGAGGAGGGAGGGGAGGGATGATGATGAGGGGTCCGGCGCGGTCAAATAATAACAAGAACCCCATCCTTTGGATATGGGGAATATTTTTTCTGTCGCACATCGAGGCCAATTTTTAGGGCGGGCCGGGCGGTTCGCCTGCTTAAAATTGACACCAGTTTCACAAATTGAGGGCGGGTCGTTTTCAAATGTGGCTCTCGCCTTAGCGCCGCGTACATGCGTTTGAGAAATTGCAAGCGCTTCACGGATTGAGGGCAGCCCGTTTTCAAAATGTGGCTCTCGCTGTAGCGCCGCGCACATTCGTTTTAAAAGCTTGCAAGAGCTTCACGGATTGAGAGCGGCTCCTTTTCAGAATGTGGTTCTCGCCTTAGCGCCGCGCACACTCGCTTAGAAAATTTGCAAGAGTTTCACGCATTTCCTTACCAACGTACCAGAAATTGCCTTCTGGAAAGATTCAGGATTACGCGGGTGCAACAGTTTCGTTGATTCGCTGTGTTGAAGTCCCAGGTACGGCCTTCTGGCACGATTCAGGATCGTCACGACGCAACACTCAGGTTGATCCGTGGCGTTGGAATCCCGAGAGCAATGTTTTGGCATGCTTCAGGGTCTTCAAACTGTTGTCTTCCAACGAGGCAGTTCCCTCAATGACAATGAACCGTTGTAGAGGCCTATGAAGAGGGAGGTTGGAGGGAGAGTTTATTCCAACATGGTTGATGACTCTTGAATTCAGACTGGTCCTCGTCGTCGCCGTCGTCAGCAGCAGAGAAAGCAGCAGCAGCAGCAGCAGCATCATCACGATCCTTGTCTTTCCTCACCCACCCTCTTCACCACCATCATCCGTGTTCCTTTCTCTTCCCCTCCCCCCGCCCTCCCTCCTCGCCGACCTCCGCGAGGCATCGCCTCCTCGGCTGTCACTACTTCTCCGGACGGGTCCTCGCGGAGGTCCAGCGCGGCGAGCCCGCGGCCGGGAGGCCGCCGCTGGGGTACGCGTGCGGGTGGCCCGAGGCCTGA